CGGCCGTTCGGCCGAAACTCTCAAGACAACTAAATTAAACCAAATTCGGTCATAATATGGTCGAATAGATCGATTCCCCAGCAGAGTCGTCAAAAATTGTGTTGGCAACTTTTTTAACAAGTCGACAAGCACGATCGCAGTACCTAAACGCCTTGTGATGATATGGAGTCGCCAATCACCTCGATCTAGCCAAACGGCCAAATCAAGATGGGTTTTATAGAAAAAGAGCTAAACCGGCTAACAGAGCTGATCTAGAGATCAAAATCAGCCTCTAGGCCGATTTAGATCGATATGAGGATAACTACTTGTCTCGTGGGCAAACAGAAGGTTTTCATGACAAACCTACAAAGAGGTGTCGCACTCTCACAGCGGCGGCGGATGATTTACGGCGTACATCGACAAAGATAGACTGAAACTAGGGTAAAGTAAAAAACATGGCTAAAAGTAAAGATAAAAGAAAAAGCGATTCAAGTATATTATGTGTTCGGGGGTTACAATTGAACCGGCCTTGTCTCTTAAATAGGGGTTGATCTTGCCCTCTACAGGCCCTCCTCCACGTCCAACTCGAGCTAGAAACCAATGGAATCCTGAAACATGCCTTCCCGAGCAAGGAAACCCGAGACCCGACAAAAACGGCGTCTGACTCGAACTCCCGCCGGTCTGACCGGCCCTCTGGTGTCGGTCTGACCGGCCCACATATAGCGGTCAGACCGGCCCTCTCTGGAGGAAATCGGCAGAGCCCCAAACTTTGGCAATTTTTCCTATTTCGATCCTAGGTACTAAATTTGGGTGTAAGCAATTATTTTAAGTAAATATGGGTGTGTTTAGTTGGTGGAAAAGTTTGGAAGTTTAGGGAAAGTTGAAAGTTTATGTGTGTAGAAAAGTTTTTGGATGTGATGTGATGTGATGGAAAGTTGGAAGTTTGAATAAAAAGTTTGGAACTAAACAAGGCCTATATTATAAAACCACATTTCTTATGATTCTCTATTATACGATATATAAATGATACAAAACCATACGAATTTTAGAAGGTGGTATATATGACTTCAAGTATTATTATTTTAAAGTTTTATAAAATCATGTCATTAACTAGATTAACATATTTTTATATTAAAATTTTAAAAAGGATCTACTACTAATTACTAAATTATACCTTTAATTCGCACCAGTTCCTCAAATCTATTTTTCAGTTGACCACTTCTCGGATCACTCGATGTACGACGACTGAGCTTTTTAAAAGTTTCCTCTTGCTCCTAGATTCATTTTTCCTATTCCCTACTTGATAATTTCATTTTTGTCTAGTTGGATATTGTTTGTCTAGAGCAACCTAATGAAGGATTAGATTGATATCGTATTATATATATGGGATGTATCATTTATATATTGAAGATATTTGCAACTAATAAAATAAATATTATCCTACATTTTGTTGGAACCAAGGGCCTCTAATTTTACCTCGTCCGATCCTAGGCCGCCAAAATATTGGGAACAGCCCTCGATACAATGGCAGAAGAGTCTCGGTAGAATGGTAAGAATAATTTGTTTCCTTCTGAAAGGAGATAGCAGTAAATAAACTTGGATACCCCCACTAGGCCATGCTTTTTTCAAGCACCTCAAAGGTAGGGCTGGACGAAAAAACTCATGGCTGGTGACCAGCTTGACTCAACTCGACTTGTTGTGTTTTTCTAACGAGCCGAACTGATAGCTTGTTAGCGAGTCACGAGCTTTATAAGCTGCAACCTTAGCATGCCACATTGCAGCAGCTTGGCGGCCCAAACTCATCTGGGAAAGACCCAACTCAATTGATCGATCCCCTGACCCTAGTTAGCTGTCCCCGATAGTCATTCCCGTCCCCTTTTTTTTACAAATTGGTCTTTTTTAAAAACTTATTTTGAAACTAGTCCCTGCAAAAAACTTCAACCAAAAATAGGTCGTGGACTCAGCGCCATGGACATTGGCGCTAAGCTATAACGTATCAGCGCCAACGTCGTTGGCGCTAAACTCTAATCCGAGGTGGCATGAATTCGCTGAGTCATCAGATCTCAGCGCCAATGTATTTGGCGCTGAGGTCCAGACGATTTAAATAGCTGCGGCGGCATTTCTAGCAATTCTTTACAAATAATTTTTACAAAATAATTTTTGTTCTCTTGACTACTCACTCTTATTCTTTACAATTTTTTTCCTTTTCTCTTCCTCCTAGCATTCTTTTAGAATTAATGTATTTTACAAAATAATTTCTGTTCTCTTGACTACTCACTCTTATTTAAATGCCGCCGCAGCTATTTAAATCGTCTGGACCTCAGCGCCAAATACCTTGACGCTGAGATCTGATGACTCAGCGAATTCATGCCACCTCGGATTAGAGTTTAGCGCCAACGTCGTTGGCGCTGATACGTTATAACTTAGCGCCAATGTCTATGGCGCTGAGTCCACGGCCTATTTTTGGTTGAAGTTTTTTGTAGGGACTAGTTTTAAAATAAGTTTTTGAAAAGGATCAATTTGTTAAAAAAAACGGCATTCCCGTCACTCCTCTCGCTCAATCGATCGAGAACGATCCCCTCCCCATCAGAAAACCCTAGCCGCCACCTACCGACTGTAGCTCTGCTCCCCAGTGATAGCCAAGGCCCAAGAGATCGATCCATTCCCCCCACTTCGTAGTCCATGGTACATCGCTTTTTCTCTCCATGCCCATCACCACCAGCGGCGAGTGAGGCCACGAGCTCTCGTCGTTGTGTCATCCTGCCGTCTCACTCCGCAACAAGTGCCACTCCGCCTCTGCATCATCATCATGGAGAAGGAACGAGCACGAGCAAGCAACTCCGCCACCGGCGCCACCAAGATCCAAATCACGGAGCAAATATTAGGGGACATTTAACTTTGGGCCACTTTTAAGATGTGACAATTAATTATTTTGTCACTCACTATCTATGACATGTGGGTTTAGTGACAAATCATCTATCACCATCCGTAAGAGTGGCAAATAATTAATAGAGCTTGTTATCGTCGTCGTCGGCAGTTGGATACTGTAAGTTGATCGGAATGTTAGTTTTGGCTTAGTGATTTGTTTGATGGTTCATTTGGTTGGTTTCAATTAGAGTTCGATTGTTTTGATGATGCAATATTTTGAATTGATGTGTACAAAAGGTTCGTGTCAAGACTTTGTTATTTGCCAGTTGCTTGATTTCTTTTTTCAATTGCACAGGATGTTCCTGGCAGCTACTGTATCTTTGATGCTAATCTTTTAAGGAAAGATAGTCATGGGTGTATTGGCTTACAAGCTAAATGAGCTAGCTCGAGCCGTCGGCCTCGTTACCTAACGAACTAGACCGAGCCAAACCAACTCAGTATCCATCCCTACTTTGAGATAGTGAGTTTTTGCAATTCACTGTGAAAAGGGAGGGTTGACCTATAGTACAAGGGAAATTGGGTCAAAACTCTTACAATCGCACCATTAATTATATATAAAAAAAAGGTACAGCCATACAAAGGAATTGGGCGGTTTGCAACCTTAGGGTTCCCATGCATTCAAGTATTATTCTTGATTTGGATATAAGAAAAAAAAACCAAAAAGGGGCACGAAGGATTCGTCTAAAAGGACTCCATGAAACCTTTGGTATGAAAAAGGTACCTTCAAAATTGTACGCATAGTTTATGCAAACGGGATACGTTGCTGGAAAGCAATACTTCCATTTAGAGAGAGGGCAAAGCAATATTTCCACGATGTTAACAAATTATTCAAACAAGATTCCACTAGAAAATCCTTTTCACTACTGTAGAAGTGATCTTTGTCGGGTCATTCAAAAATCACATTAGCACAATGGGACTTTATAATTTTTAGTCCCGATTGGTGACCAACTATCCCGGTTATATTCTTGTCAGGGGCCAGGAATCTTTAGTCCTGGATTGGGCATCCCATTTGCAACCCGGGACTAAAGAGGTTACAAACAGGGACTAAAGAGCACTTCTCCCGCAATGTGTGTTTGTTAGTCAGGTGAAATAGATATGGAAAATATAATAAGAACATTAGCAATATTTTAAACAAAATTAGCAATATTTTAAAAATCAAATTAGTTTCACTAAATCTAGCATTTAATATATTTTGATAATATATGTTTGTTTTGTGTTAAAAATGCTACTATATTTTTTTATAAACTTATTCAAATGTAAAGAAGTTTGACTAGGGAAAGAATTAAAACGACTTATAATATGAAACGAAGGGAGTATTACGTTGTGTAATAGATTTATTTTTTACAAAACGGAGGGGGGGGGTAAAAATACAATAAAGCTTGCACAAATTGTCCGGAAAGTTTTTATTCCAGATCCATATGATGTGGCCTTCTCTTTAATGCTGTTGTACCTACCGTCCTCTTCCACCTCAGAAAGCAAGATAGCAGCAAAATGGTACGTGCTGTTAACACCACAAGTATCAAAGCGTAATAAATTTGGTAATATGGGCACTATGCATTATCAATACAGAAAAAAAATGCCCAATGAACCCATATTGATGCTGACTGCATCCCTGCTTAACTCACATCACTGTACTTGCAATTAAACGATTAATTACTAAAGCATGTGTCTCGTTGCACCTGAGAGCAAGTTTAATAGTATGGCCAACTATTACCCAAATCATATATAGCCCATTTAATAACTCATCTAAACAATAGTTATATATAAATATATACTACACAATTAAAATATGGTCCCACCTCTCATACACACATAACGCTTTGGAGTCTATGTTACAGTTGGCTCCAAATCTATAGACCGCTTTTATTCTCTCTCTTATCTTATCTTCTCCACATGTGCATATAGCTAATTTGTAGCCTGTTATTGTACTCGCTCTGATAAACAATTTGTCGTGGCCTCTTATCCCTTGATATTAGGAGATTTGCCCGTTACTTCTGTCGGAGTTTGTGTTTAACAATCTACAACAAGAAATTGTCTAGTACTCAAGAATCAAGATAATATATAAACAAGGAAAAATAGATGATCACTTTCCCTTACATCTCCATGAAGTCATTGTTCCAATGATGAGGTCCACTGTACACAGGCATTAGCATCATGATGGTTGGAAGCAGAAACTCTAGATTCTGAGAAACGGCAGCCTCAGCTGCCTGCAAAGAAACCTATGCAAGAATAGAACAGTATGGGTATGTTTAAAGGTAGAGTCCATATAAACTCTTAGATAATGCATATTTATTTAAAAACTATGTCTTTATAATGGTGGAGACTACAAAGGCTCTAAAGTATTAATAAAACTTTTTTTATTACTATTCATTCCTTGTTCACACCCACATGCAGTAAAGTTTTCATTCTATAGAGGTTAAAAGTCGTTCCTAAGCAATTATTAACTGTAGCAACGACGTTGGCCTCTCCTCACTTCTCTTCCTTCCATATCATCAAATATTCCTAATTAGCAAGACTAGGAATCGTTATTAATTATCATTGTATATGTCATAAGTTTTTTTTATTTATAGGCTTACGCCTGCTTATAATCTAAAAAATCTAAGGCAAACAAACAGTTTTTTAGTTTTTTTTTTCATTTGGCTTTTTTAAAACCAATAAACCATAAGCTACTCTTATATTGTTAAGCTAAAAGCTAAGTTATAGTAATTTTTAGTTTATGTGAAGTGAAGATAGGACCCTTAAAAGCACTAGTAAATAAACCCTAAGTGTTGGCTGCTAACCTAGCATAAGTGCTAGATTGGCAGCCGTCACCTACAAAGCAGCACCAATTAATGATGGTCATCAGTGTTGGTTTTACAACTGGCAGATATAAGAGCCTATAATATTGGTGTATAAATCACATGAGCCAAAAAGTTGCTTAAAAGTCTAAGCTCAAACAAAAGCCTAAACCGGTTCATATAGAAAAGTTAAAATAATAATTAAAAAAAGACTAACCTCACGACCGAAATGGTTCAAGAAATTCCTGGCAAAATGTGAGCAACTGTTTAGATCCAAAGTATATCGTGGGGTCCATAACGTTGAGTTGTTATTAGGACTATAATTGTATGTCTTCCACATGTCAGGAACCCAGCTGATATCAGCGATCCAAGAAGGAGGATCTCCAAAAGTATCATTCAAATATTGCTTAAATTTGCGAAGATCGCGTTGCACAAGATTTGTAATCATATGATCATATTGAAGGTATCGTGCAACTCTTTCTCCACATGATAACAAGCACGGATGGTTTATAAAAAATGTAATGAATAGATCGGATCTTCCATAAGTTTCATGGGAAGTAGTGCACAATACAGAAAGTAAATTGTTCAGATGGCAAGGGGAGGAAGAACCTTGTAAATTATCGACGAATTTATCCTTTAGAATTGAAACTAGCTTAAGATAATCAAGTCTACCACCAATAGGGGTGTATGTATTTTCGACGATATGGGGGCTGATCCTAACATGCCCGCTTGAATCAGTATGTCCCGGAGATCAAAAGTACCATACCAAGTAATGTTCCGCTGGTGACCATCACGGGAAACACATACCAATAGTTGGTGTATGATATATCTCGAGAAATCACTTAGAAAAGTTACCCATGTATCCTTATAAGGGTTTATCAATTCTGGGGGAAGGTTCACATAATAGAAAAGGTCATTATTATTGTCACGGACCGCACGGTCAATAAGTTCATCCATACGCTCATATTCCATTGGAATTAACCTGCAAATGAACACTTGTTACACCTCTAAAGTAGGAAGTGATAAAATACATATACATAGATAAGTTACGCGGTACGTACTCTCCACCCCTCAGTCTGGGTGTCACATGAATATGCGTATTCGTGTGGATAGGTATGGAGCTCAAGATCTCATCTCCTTTCAGAACTTTTCCGCACCATGTTACATAAATATCACAATACTTGATGTTCCTCCTCTGGAGAGCAAATACGACAAGTTCTTTTACTGCCGTTGTATTGAAGTTTGTATGGAATAAAAGCTTCTCTCCACATATACATACAAACACCTGTGAAATTCACAAAACTACAATCAAGCTATGCAAGCAGCAGATAACACAAAGCACTCACATTACATAGGATTTCTAAAATAAACAAGCGATGGATGCCAATGGCATTACCTCATCTGGATTGTTTTTCCCCTCTCCTATTTCATCGGGTGTCATGGAAGATGACGCAGATGCCACAAGATTTGTTGTGTTAGCTGTGGCCTTATCAACAAGTGAAGGTAACCCAAATTGATTTTCCAAAATTGTTGTCTGCTGCATAAGGTATAACACATGAGTCATCATAATATCAGCTATAATCGGATTTTGCACGGTCAGTAAGAAAAACCTTTTTTTTTCTGAGAAGGGTATTTTCGGTCAGTAAGAATAACCAATTTTTTTTAGAGAAGTGTATTTTCTAACCTGTCAGTAAGAAGAACCATTTTTTCTAGAGAAGGGTATTTTTTACCCAGCTTCTAGATGCCTTTTTAAAATTAGGAACTTAGCATATCAAACAGAATTGGATTTGAATACCTTTTAAATGGATATATGCAGCCTTTTTTAGGAACTTGAATGCCTTTTTAAAATTAGGAACTTAGCATATCAAACAGAAACAGGGAACTACATCCAACTGGATTTAAATGCCTTTTTAACGGATATATGCCGCCTTTTTTAGAAACTTAGCCGGCTTCTAAATTTTTTTTAGAGAAGGGCTTCTATACCATCAAACAGGGAACTTAATCTCGCTCCTGTGGAGATTTAAACTCAAGACCTTGGAGTGCTACTTAAGTCACTGCAGCCACTAAGCTATATGCTCTTTCACAGTGAAGTTGTTCCTAATAAATAATGAAAAACTCACCCCACACAAACCTGGTCATGCAGGCATAAGGATTCTGATCTGATAGTGTTTGTGGTCTTGCAACTGAACCTATCTTTTGGGTGATTGTATTTACAGAAAGTCATATGTTTACATTCCCCAAACTTCATGTAGTATCGACAGAATGGTTCACCAGGTCTCTCAGGATATTGAACTAGCTTTCCTAGCAATGATATGACTCCAGCCTTTCATTGTCAGGCCTGAAAGAGTAAATGAAACATGATGGCCCAGCGGACCTATCCGCTGAACAGAATCCAACATAATGTTTTGAAGACGATAAACAAGGATTCTCCTGCATGCATGAAACATACAACAATGTATGGAATATCAAAATAATTTCATACAAAAAATTGAGAAGTGCTTAGTTCGGTAGGAAGGGTTCCTAACTCATCTCCCTTGTGTTCCGCGCGCACGCTTTTTAAACTATTAAATGGTGTGTTTTTTGCAAAAAAATTTCTATACGAAAGTTACTTAAAAAATCATATTGATCCATTTTTTAAAAAAAATAGCAAATACTTAATTAACCGCGTGCTAATGGACTGTTCCGTTTTCCGTGCGCTGGAGATAGGTTCCCAACTGCGTGCAGCGAACACAGATGTAATTCGGTTTTGAAATGCTGCAATACAAAGAATAAACTGCAATCCAACAACATACATGACCATCTGAAATCATTGAAAGCGCATCTCTGGAATGGGGAGTTTGTCATGGTTCAAATGGAAAGCTAGGAAGTTTCATCAATACTTTTAACCATAACATGCTATGTTTTCTAAGGAGGAAAAGATGGTATAATATAATTCAAATCTATGTACTCAAATATTCATATCAAAGCGTGAAAATACATGTGGAACAGACATTATGGAAAAGGCACTAGTTAACATGTATCAAAATTGAAAAGATACAAAGAATTAATAGAAAGTTATAGCATATATCTACCTTGATGACATTAGCACAATTGGAATGATCTCCCACATGCTTCCCAGCAATCTGAGCACAATTAATATCATCCAAGATACCATCATGAGCATTTGTTAGAGTTCTAGTGTTTGGCCCCTGAACAACTGATCCCTTCTTTCCTGGCATAAAGGTCCATATTGATTCAGCAAAGGCCATATCCTGTTAAAGAGAAACATATATGTGGTAATGAAAATTATTTTTTATTGTCTTCTACAATTAAACATATATATAATAAACTTATTCATAAAACAGTCCATACAATAATATGACATTAAAAATGTATAAGCTAATGATACATAAGCATGAAAACAAAAGTTACATGAATTGGAAAAACGCTGAGAACAAAAATGGAACACAAATTGGGATGCTGGCAAGGCAAAGTGGCAAACTTCAATCTATTGGAGGAAGATTGATTTTATTCAATTCAAGCCTTAGCAATGTGCCCCTTTACATGATATCCTTCTACAGACTGCCACAAGGAGTTAGAGAGAGATTGGATTTTTACAGGAGGAGATTTTTGTGGCAAGAAGATCAAGGGATAAGAAAATATCATCTGGTACAATGGCCGGTGGTATGTTCACCCAAAGATCAAGGGGGCCTGGGGATCCTGGATTTGGAAACAATGAACAAAGCGTTGTTAGGGAAATGGATCTGGAGATTGGAAAATGAGGAAGGTTGGTGGCAAAGCTTTTTGACAAGTAAATACATGGGTTGCAAACCCATATCTTTATTGAAATTTAAAAATGGAGAGTCCCATTTCTGGCATGGGCTCATGGAGATCAAAAACATCTTTCTGAAATTCTGCTCCAGGGTGATAGGCAATGGTGAAAAGACACTTTTCTGGGAGGACAGCTGGATAGGGGGCAAACCTTTAAATGAACAATTCCCCAACCTTTACAATATCACTTTGACAAAACATATAACTGTGGCAAAACTGAAACAAAAAGGGATAAATTGCATCAAGTTTAGGAGAGACCTGAGTGGAGGGAGATTGAGAGATTGGCACAAAATTTATACTAGTTGGGGTGATCTGGAGTTAAATGATAACTGCAATGACAAACTACGATGGAATTTAACTAAGGATGGAATTTTCAGTGTGAACTCTTTCTACAAAGCTTTGAAGCTACAACAAGTGCATTTCCCACAGAAAAAAATTTGGAAGTTCAGAACTCCTTTGAAGATTAAGGTTTTTTTTGGCTCTTCACCAAAAATAAGATCTTAACAAAAGACAATTTATACAAGAGAGGTTGGAGAAAAGGGGATAAAAAATGTCAGTTCTGTGATAGAGAGGAGACTATGCAACACTTGTTTTTTGACTGTCCCCTGGCAAGATTAATGTGGAACACTGCAATTTGTGTCCTGAATCTGAACCCAGCCCTTGATAGTCAAAACATGTTTGGAGATTGGTTGAAAAAACTTGATAAGAACATGAAAGACTTAGTTATGGTAGGAATGGCTGCTATAATTTGGGCCATCTGGAAATCTAGAAATAAAGCTTGTTTTGAAAAAGTTTATCCAAAAGACCCCACTGATGTGATCTTTTTGGCTTGCCATTGGGTTGATTCCTGGGCACTACTGCAGAAGGAGGAGGCAAGTCGAAGAAGACTGCTACTGGGATCCAGACTCATAAGACAGTCGGCAAATGAAGTCTACAACTCGCAGTTCGGATGGAGAATCAACACCAAAAGGATCAAGGGATGAGATAGATATAAGTGATGATGTTTTGTAATTCCCTTTCCTTCTTTTTTACTGTTAGATATCTGTTTAGGCAAAACTTCTGAAAAGAGTCAGGAACCCTTGTAATAGGGCTAGCTTTTGAACTTTCCTGTTTTTTTTTCTGAAGACTATTGTAGCTCGATGTTTCATTTCTAGTAAAAGAAATGGGAGCCGTCAGGCTCTTGATAAAAAAAAAGAAAACAAAAGTTACAGATTAAATATTGCACACAACCCAAAGAAACATGAGCAAACAAACGAGAGACGTGTGCTCGCCTGCAAACTCTATTGGGTACCTTGGTATTAACGCACACGCAGTCACGTATTTGCATAATTCGTGAAGCCGTGAATAGTATGCATGGATGCACATTTTGGGTTGACTATACTTGTAAACTCATAGGTACGGCTAGTTTGATGAGAGTAAACTATACTACTAGTGCAAAACTCCCTGCAAGATTAAAATACTAGTGGTAAAACTACTAATGATGTAAATGCAGTAAATCAGTCATGCTAGAGTTGCTACTATTAATTTTTAATATGCATTAATCTAGTTGCCTTTTCAATTTTGAATACATAGAGTGGTTTAATGTCTATTATAAATTTGATATGTACGGTTGTTGCTTTGACTTGAATTCCAATAAATATCCGTAACCCATACTCCGTATTGCTTGTATCCGTATCCATCTTGGTATGTGTTCCAATTTCACCCCTCCTAACTATAGCCCTGGCCCATCACTGAGAACCTACAGCACAACCTCGGTCTGAGGCTCCATCTTCCAAAAGATGGCTCTTTAAAACACTAGTTAGCGACATAGGACAACAACAAATTTTAAAATAATTTCGGGACGATGATCCGGAACGATGATCGATCGTGGATCAATTGCGATGCAGATGCATAGGAGGTCTTCACTTCTCTATTTTCTCGATTCAGGTTCTTAAAATAACGTGCCAAACTATTAGTAGTAGCTTTCTAACTAGCGAGTAATATTTTCTGGCCCAATAACTAAAGCGGTAAAGCCCAAAGCCAGACCACCACCAGCCCAAAGCGAGCGAGGGAGGCCCGCAAGCGGCTCGGCGCTCGTCCATCCCACTCGGCGCGACAACGCCAGCGCTCATCCATCCTCCTCACACGACGACGGCGGCGGCGCAGTGAGGGAGCAATAGAGGCGCTCGTCCGCCTTATACCAGACAAGATCCGGCTGCGATCGGTACATTGTCAAGCCTCGTTTCGGGACGAAGTTCCCGAGATTCGCTGTGACATACTCGAGCCCCCTTTTCACCGATTATTCACCGTGAAGACATGGACAAAGAATGAAATAGCACAGAGAATTGGAGAATGAATCCATAGATCTTAGCACAGATTCATTACACATAAAATGGACAATTTTGCTAAGGGCAAGAGAAGAATTTGGAGGACGAATCCACATCGAGAAAGCTGAGCTGAGGATAGATTGAAGGGCACATACTGATTTTGGGATCTGCTGATGCTTTCGACGGTCGCGGCTACCTGGAGGTCCTGCTGCTACTCCTTGATCAGCACCGATGACCGCCCTTTGTCGATGCCGCCTGCACGTCTACCGTGGCTGCACTGCTCCGTCTAGCGCGCACCGCTGCTCGCGGCACGGCTCGTACCTTGCGCCTTTCTTCTTGCAGCCTTGCGTTTACTCGTTGTTCGCGTTGACCCTTTCTGCTTGCAGCCTTGCGTTTACTCGTTGTTTGCGTTGACCGCAGCTGTCCGACCTGGTCACCTGGATCCAGGAACTGGAAGGCGGAAAGAGAAAATATGAGGAAATAACGATTACTCGTTTAACGATTTTCTTAAATTATAGTAGTAGGTGATGAGTGTCTTATTCACTATCATAACTGTTGAGTGTTGACATGATACACTTATGGTACTATGTCATAGACTAATTCTTACCAAACCATACCTAAGTTGTTTGTGGCAAGTTTTGGCACAAAAAATAGGCCATGTGTGCATCGTCTAAACAACCACTTATCCTAAAGTTGACCTTGTAAGTTTAAGGCAATCCCTCTCATAGAGGGATTGAAGAGGATTTAAAGGTGATTTATTCCATATTTATTGTGGTGTGGAATTACTCCCCTTCAATCCCCACCAATCCTTCTCTATTGATGATTAAACGAACAAGCCCTAAGAGAATGTTTGAGAGGAGTGGAAATGAGAAACGTTGACCAAGGCGCAATCAGTCCTCGCCAAGAAGTTAGGAACGGAAGTCCCAGTCATCCCTGACTCGTGTTCGAGAAAAAAAAAGTCATCCCCGACTCCAAGCCCTCCGAGCAAGACGCCAAGGCGTACAAAGAATTCTTCTCCGAGCCTCTAACCACTGAACACATTCAAGCGTTGGCGGACCTATTCGGCATGGACCTCATCCAGGCGCCACCAGTGCAGGGGTCGCCGATCGCGGTGGAGGCTTAGTGCGCTAGCCCCGGTCGAACCCCCCTGTCCTATTCCCAATGACTAGCCCAAACTACAACATACTAGTCTGGAATGTGAGAGGGTTGAACGCAGGAGCACGCCGGGACGTAGTGCGCTTGGTGGTCGGTCTCCAAGAAACAAGACTGAATGTAATCTCCCTTATGTCGGCCTCTCAAATTTTAGGCCCTAATCTATCTAGTTTCATCTATCTCGCGGCTACTCAAATGCGGGGAGGGGGAGTGGATCCTCCTTGCCTAGGATCCGAGTGTGGCTAGTTGTTTCAGCCACCGCACTAACGAGTTATCAATCACAATGCGGCTAGAGTTCATAGACGGAACGATCAATTGGTTCACTTCTGTCTATGGGCCGCAGGGCGACTCCGACAAAGTTCGTTTTCTTCAAGAACTCCGAGAAATCCAGACTTCCTTCTCCGAACTTGGTTGGTGGTAGGGGATTTCAATCTCATCTACTAGGACCAAGACAAGAACAACGGAAACATGCACCGTCGCATGATGAGGCGCTTTCGCCGGGTCATTTGTGACCTTCAGTTCAAGAGGTGCACCTCAAATGCAAGGCCTTCACTTGGTTCAACGGCTGGGACAGAACGACCCTAGAGCGTATAGATCGCATCTTCGTGACCGACAACTGGACAACCCTGCCTTCTTGATTCCTCAAGGTTCTCTCGATGGACATGTCTGACCACTACCTACTCCTCCTAAACACCTCGTCTTCTTCTTGACGCTCTGCTCGCTCTCTTTGAGAGCTTCTGGGTGAAGCGGGATGGGTTCCTCGTAACAGTCCAGGATTCCTGGTACTTCCCTTGCCCATTCAAAGACCCCATTCACCGATTGGACGCAAAGATGTGATGCCTAGCAAAGGCGCTGCGCAGTTGGTCTAACAAGAAGGTCGGGAACGTCAAGCTGCAACTGGCCATGACAAGGGAGATAATTGACATATTTGACGCTGCCGAGGAGCATCGCCCGCTTAGCCAACAGGAGTGTGTGCTCCACCATGCGTTGAAGAAGTGGGTGCTTGCCCTTGTGTCCCTAGAAAGAACGATGGCTCGACAATGCTCACGCGTCACCTGGCTCAAAGAGGGGGATGCAAACGCCCACTTCTTCCACCAACAAGCACCCTATAGGCGATGAAAGAATTTCATCCAGCAGCTGGCTAACAATAGGATGGTCGCCATCTCGCACGCAAATAAAGAGCGAATGGTACACGAGTACTACGCCGGAGTGCTAGGCTCCACCCCTTCAACTTCAAGGAAGCACACACTCAGCTTACCCTTCTTTAGCCCTAGCCGACCTGTCATGCACAACCTCGAGGTGTGCTTCACTGAGGACAAAGTCCGGAATGCAATCAAGGACACCCCTAATGATTGCGCGTCAAGGACGGATGGCTTCACCGGCTTGTTCTACAAATCTTGTTGGTCGGTCATTAAAGAAAATATCCTTGTAGCCCTCAACCAACTCTTTCATCTGGACGGATCAAGATTTGACAAAGTAAACAAGGCCCTCATAACTTTGCTCCGAAGCGTGCGGACGCAAGTGGCTTGAAGGACTACTGGCCCATAAGCCTTTGCCACAGCTTTGCGATGTTATTCACGATAATCCTATCAAAGCAATTAGTGCCCAAACTTAATTTGCTGGTCGCCGACAACCAAAGTGCCTTCATCAAGTATCGTTGCATCCACGATAATTTCGTGCTTGTACACCAGCCGGCAAGGAAGTTGCATGCCGGTCTCTCCCCAGCAATCCTTCTCAAACTCGACCTGGCGTAAGCATTCGACTCGGTCTCCTGGCAATTCATCCTCGAGATACTTCTCCATAGTGGCTTCGGTAAACGGTGGCAAGTCTGGCTATCCATCCTCTTTAGCACTAGTAGTACAAGGTACTACTAAACGGCACGCCGGGAAGGACAATCTAGCACGGCAGGGGCGTGCGCCAAGGGGATCCCCTATCACCGATGTTGTTCGTCATCGTAATGGAAATGCTAAATTCCATGTTCGTCAAGGCTTAGCACCTTGACCTTCTTCAACCTGCTTCAGTCGTGGGGTTGAGGACGAACTATAGCAAGTGTTCGGCCATTCCAATTCGGTGCGGGGAAAGCGAAATGGAGCTCATGCAGAACAAGCTACCTTGCCTAATCACGCATTTCTCGTGCAAGTACCTAGGCCTACTGCTCTCCACCGGCAAGCTGAACAAGGCCGAGCTCCAACTGATGCTTGACTCGGTCGCCGGTAGGCTCCCGTCATAGAAAGCTGGTTAGCTTGCCCCGGCCAGGCAGTTGGCAGCCTGGCACTTATCAATTCAGTGTTAAGATCCATCCAATCCACCTCTTGATCGCCATGTCCCCTCCCAAATGGGTTATCAAGGGGATCAATAAGATAAGGTGGGGTTTCCTCTGGACTGGAACAGCCAAAGCCAAGGGTGGCCACTGCCGCCTCGCCTAGAGCAATGTATGTGTGCCCAAAACTACGATGGTCTTGGAATCCATGACCTCAATCTAATGGGTCTGGCCCTTCATGCTCGGTGGCTTTGGGCACTGCGAACCAATGCAAGCAAGCCCTGGAAAGGGCTACCAATGCCGATCTCTAATCAAGAATGCGACTTCGTGTCTACGATAATGACCTGCATCCTTTTCTGGGAGGATCGATGGCTGAAGGGGCTAACCTAAAGAGCCTGGCGCTAGCCCTGCATTCCCTTGTCTTGGCGCGCGTGAGCCGCAAACGAATAGTGGCGGAGGCAATCACTGATCGGCGATGGATTAGCGACATCAGGGGGACTTTAGGAGTTGAAGCAGTGCTGCAATACCTTAGGATCTGGTAGCGTATCTCCTTGACCACCCTACTACCTAGGCAAGCTGACAACTTCGTCTGGAAGTGGAAGATCTCAGGGCAATATTCCACCAAGTCTGCCTACTCACTGCTCTTCCTTGGTCGTGAAAGCTTCCCAGAATCTCTAGTTTGGAAGAGCAATGCGCCACACCATTGCAGGTACTTCACCTGGCTCATCACCCACCGCGCTTGCTGGACAGCCGACCACTTGTACAAATGAGGGCTGCCACGCCCTGCCAAATGTGTCCTTTGCGACCAATGCGAGGAGACAATGGACCACATCCTTGTGTCCTGTCCTAAATCTCGCCAACTCTAGTGGATAGTTCTCAATGCCATCGGATGGCCCGAAATTCTTCCGACCATACAAAACTCCTTCGTTAGCTAGTGGTACCACAACCGGAAAAGGGTCAGCAAATAGCTATGCAATGGCTTTGATATAATTGTCACCTTGATGGCTTGGTCCATCTAGAAAGAGCACAACCGCCGAGTCTTTAACCAAGAAACGTGTTCTTGGCCCAAGGTGGCAACTCTCTGGCGAGAAGCCAAGCTAATTCAATAGCCCACGGCTGTTTGAAGGGTCGCAAAGCTAATACCGCGAGAATTAAACCCATGGCGCCTCTGTTTTTTCTTCTATTTGTTCGCTTTTTTAATGTTCTGGCATTCCTGTAAATTGGCAAGTTGTAGCCTTACCCTCTCCTTAATACAAAGATACGATGCGTATTCTCGAAAAAAAGGGAAAGGAAGTCAATGCATTTTTATTTGTAATAGTATTAAAAAAAAGAACTCATTGTTAGGTTATTTTGATAAAAAAAATCAGGAGCTTTGCCAATTTCATAATTCATGAAAGACTCATTGTTGGATCACAAAACAGTTTGACTTAATCCAATGACAGCTATCTACAGAAACAGCATGCGTGAATCATACATACTATTATGTGTGCAACCAGACCTAGGAGCCTGTTTTCTTTCCTTCCAAGAGCTTTTGAAAAGTAGCGATGCCACTCACTGTGGAAGTGTGGAGTAAAGTATAAGGCCGAGCTGTAAAAAAAAAAGAAGTAAAAATGTAGCGAGAAACTGCGAAAAGGAAGTTGATCAGAACATGTACGCAATTTGCTACAATTGATTATATAAGGTTAATCCGTGGTATCCTGCACGCAGCATAATGGTAACAGGCAGTGAAACACAGCAAGACAAGCTGGTGAACCTTAGTAGACATTTTATCGAACAGCTTATTCTCACAAGGACGAAGCTGAGGAGTACAGCAGGTGGTGGAATGGTGGATGCTCGCCGGGGAAGCTGAAACGGTGATGTCGTCTAGGAGATTGGGTAGGTCCGGATGAGGGTGGATGCTGGGGTTGCAGTTGCAGCTTGTGCGGACGAGCGCGAGGGCGGCGAGGGTCGACGGGGAGCCGGCAAAGGAAGAAGAAGAGGAAGAGGAAGCGGAAGCCTCTCTTCACTCTTGTTGTGGTTGAGGTTGGTGGTTGGGGCCTCGGGGGGGGGGGGGGGTTGGGACCCTCCTCTCATCTCTCTATCTGTCGCCGTTGGATCAGGGACAGGATCATCTACACCGTCCGTTCTTCTCCTCCCGTGCGGATGGCGAGGGTTTAAGGAGGAAACCAACACCTCCCCTCTCGTCGCCGTCGCCGTCAAGCTCCACGCCGGCCACAGCCTCGCCGCCAAGCTCCTCCCCAGGTCCAGGTGCGAACAAAACCTCTCCGCCCGCGCGCGGCGTGGCCATGCCGAGCTTCCCTCCGCCCGGCGGCGTCACCGTCTGCGAGATCAACCGTGACCTCGGTATGGTATCCCTCCACCTCCTTGCTTTCTCCACCCCGATCTCCTCTCCTCCTTGTTTTCTCTCAATCGGCTGTCCAAATCTGTGCGTTGCAGTTGTGGCGGATGCGCTGTCCGATGATCGAGCCAAGGATGCCTACGGGGATGTCCTCGTCAGTACACTCTCCTCCCCCTCGCAATAATTTCTTTTTCTTTTTCACAACACTAATTTTATTAGGCCTCTAATTGAAACTTCAATTTGGGGCTTCCAGGGAATGGTCTTCAGCCCGATTCCTTTCCAGCCGGATGCGACTGTTGCCACCCACGAGCCTCCTGCTGTCACTGAAGCTGCTGAGCCTGCTGAAGTTGTCCCCAGAACAAGTTTAGCTTCCACCATAGCTGAGTCCTTCAAACAAATGCTCTTCCCTTCGTGCAATGTGAGTTTGGTTCTTCATCATATCTTAGTGAATCAATTGCTTGCATTCATGATTTTACTGCTTTTCTGTCATATATTGCCCCATTCTCGTTGTTCACCCAAAATCTACACACAAGCTTATTTTTGTGTGCAAAGTGCTCAGGATAGATTTTTTTTAACAACTGTACTTTAGTACTTACGACAAATCTTTTGTTTTCGCAGCCAAATCTGCTACAAGAAATTGATACCCAGAAAGTAAGTTGGAATCCTCACAAGCATTGCTTGGCATTTGTATCTGGGAAGAACCAAGTTACAGTTCATGACTTTGAGGAGCCAGGTGAGATCTGCTGAACTTTCTTATGTTGTATTAATAAGATAGATATGATGAACTGAAGCATGATGGCTATATGAACATTTATTCTTGTATTTAATGAACTGAAGTATGTTTCTCAACTCAGCTGAAGCCAACAACTAATCATTTGTATTCTCTGAACAGATAATAAAGAATCCTACATTCTAACAAGTGACCATCAAAAGGATGTTAAAGCTGTTGAATGGAGGCCAAATAGTGGAAAGGTGATTGCAGTTGGGTGCAAGTATGTCCTACTGCCGCCATATACTAGAGCACTATTAAAGATTTGTTTTGATATTCTTTTCATGTCATAATACCTAGTGGCACAATCTACTATTAGATTAACTTTTATTATTATTATTTTCAGGGGAGGGATATGCCTCTGGTCAGCATCATATCCTGGCAATGTTGCATCTGTGAAATCTGGTGTCACCTCTTCTTCTTTTGGTGCCTTTCCTAGAGGTTCCGGTGGTCAATGGATACTCGTGGACATTCTCCGTGGTTCTTCTGCTGAGCTAGTTAGCGCACTTTGTTGGAAACCTGATGGAAGATATCCTTTATAAGTTTTCAGTATAGCATTTAATCATAAGTATCATTCATCTCTTTTATTTGAAAAATAAAAAAAATGTAACCTAAAACAAATAATATGTCTTCACTTGCAAACAGAAAAAATATCAGTGACTCTAGACAATATTCCTTGACATATATCTCCACATACTTGGTATCTGCCTCTTGTAATAGCCCATCATTCACAATTTGGGATGTTTCTCAAGGTATCTAAATGTCATCAGAATGCAGATACCCAATTCCATCTTACACAGAACTGCATGCTAATATCTTTAGATTTTCTTCTGCTTCAGGGTTGGGAACGCCTATAAGACGTGGATTAAGTAGTATATCATTAGTGCGGTGGTCACCTAGTGGAGATTACCTTTTAACTGCTAAGCTGTATGAACTTCAACTTTAGTTATTTTCATTGCTCATACCTTTTGAAGATTTATATAGTTTTCCTTTTTTAATTAGTGATGGAACTTTTCACTTATGGGAAACAAATACATGGACGTCAGAACCATGGTCTTCATCTAATGGATATGTGTCTGTAAGTAGTAGTATCTTCACTCTTTAAATAAGTATTGTTTAACATTCAACATTATTGTTTACCATGTTGCAAGGAATGGATTCTTAATTAAGTCATGAAATGAAAGGGCAAATGCTTTGCATGTTATGGGTTATTGGGTCCAGTTTTAACTCAAGAATTGTTATCTCAGACCCATTTCAAAATTGTATATGTAACTTTCTTTCTGATTTTGTACATGTATTTATCTTGAAAACAAGTGTGTTTAGCATGATTCTGAAGATTGATACAACATATTAACTTATATAACCAGTTGTTTTAAGATATATACATTTTAAACATGCCTGTATCAAGCTTCTGAACTTGGGTTTATTTTGTATTTATGACTACCTTGCAGTACCTTTTTACTTGTTAATGTATTGTCATTTCAACAGCTATACTTTTGTTTGCCAACAAGATCAATTGCTTGTTCAAAAGTTGATTTTTGGTTCAGTTGACTTTATAAATTGTAAATATTACATAAAGCTCAACTTAATTTGAACCTTCCCAAGTATATCACATAAGATCAGTTTTACAGCAAACATTTCTCATTCACTTGTAATATATACATTCCCCCCCCCCCCTTAAAGCAGTATTTTGAATGAAATATGGGTGTTGTGATTAATTTTGGAGTTATGATGCTTTTTTTTTTTAATCTTGCTTTCATACCAGGGAGCAAATTGGGACCCAGAAGGCCGTACTGCATTATTATCCTTTTCTAACTCAACAACACTGGGCTCAATTCACTTCTCATCAAAGCCACCATCTTTAGGTATGGACAGCTACCCTCATCTCACCACAGCATTTTTATGTGAAGTTACAGTATTATGTTTATTGTCTGAATCCTGAACATTGTGTTGTGTTCATTGACTTCAGATGCCCATCTCCTACCAGTCGAACTACCTGAAATTTCCTCTCTGATTGTCAGGTAACAACAGTGGCAGTACCTACCATTCTATACTCCTAACTTCTTGTGGACCCGATGGAACATATTTTACTGCTGTCTTCAATGCTAACTTTAACTGATGATATTTTGAATAACCACATCTGCATCTGGTTGGGAAGTCATTCATGATATGGATTGTATGGTTTTAAATAAATCACTTATGGTATGTAACTTAGGATCATTAGCAAGTAAAGGCAAGTTCTCCCTAATCAATTGAAGCGCCTCAACCATTTTTTTTTTCAAAATATCTTTAGATCTGGCTTGTAAAAAGTCTGTCTCTTGCCATTTTAGTATATACTCAGATGCTTTCATTTAGGATGAACCTTTACATGTTCAAAAGTCTATCATTTCATCCATTACAGCCTAGAAAAGTAACTTGTTGTCCAGTCCATATACTTATTTATGCTAGCTTTCTCTGGTTCATCTAGCCGAGGCATAGATAAATTAGCATGGGATTCTTCAGGAGAGCGCTTGGCATTATCATTCAAAGATGGTAATGAAATGTATCATGGCCTTGTTGCTGTCTATGATGTGAGGAGATCTCCACTTGTCTCAGTTTCACTAGTGTAAGTGCAGTCCTCTAATTTACCATGTTATCTTGGTCATGAACATTGAATCTTGATAATTTTGGACCATTGTCTGACGAATTTCCAATGTGCATATACAGTGGATTCATAAGAGGACCTGGAGATGGAGCAAAGCCACTTGCATTTGCCTTCCATAGCAAATTTAAGCAAGGACCATTGCTTTCTGTGGTATGAGATCATCAAAAGTTTTGAGCCTATTAGTTAAATGATAATTATGGTTGCTCACATTGTTATTCAACTGTTCATGCAGTGCTGGAGCAGTGGCTGGTGTTGTACATATCCCCTCATACTTCGTCCTCATTGACTCCCTAAGAGGAGGTAAATCTCTTTGGCTGCCTGAAAGTCATTTACTTTGGTGGCACGATATCAGCGATGTTTCTTAATTGAATTTCCTTTTTTCGTCCAGTAAGGAAAGCTCGCTGGGTCAAGAGATGATTGGCATACTATTGAATTATATTAAAAAAAATGCTACTATGATTGTTATCCTCTTGTATGTAAATTTCTGCCCTATGGAAGCGATGCTATTGAATGGAGACAAGTAGGAAAAAAAACTGAAATGTATTTGGTAGCATTACAAAATGTATGTACTATACTTATTTGGATGGGGAAATGTATTGGCTACGCTTGTGTTTATGCAGTTCCCTAAGCAAAGACACCATTGTCTTACTCTTACCATGTGTCCATTTAGTGCATGATTACGGTTGTCATTAATTTACTGCACTATCGCATGGTAAGAAACCTTCACTGAAAGGCTTGATCAGTTTTTATTGGACTTACGTTTGAGATATCACAGATATGTTCTGCTGCATTATTAAATGTCAATCTTATCACTTGGGGGAACACAAGGTAAACATGCAGGACCATTTCTCATCAACCCTACATTTTCCCTTCTGTTTGCTTATCCAGATTAACTGAGAATCCATTCAAGCTCTGAGTAACCAGAGTTCAGTGATCAAGGGGATAGCTTATTGACAAGGATATTAATTAGCGTTACCCCTAGGTTCAATAACGTGACAAACCTTAAACTATGCTTGCAGCGTCATAAACAGCAGGATCACACCAAGTGTTTCTGAAATTCAGGCATCACATCTCATGTAAACATCCTGTTTCTCTGTTGAAACTATGCATCATTGCTTCACATCTCTGCTACGAGCTTGCTGTATTGATCCAGAGCGAGGTCAAACGAAGTGAATGAAAAAGGAGGGAGCACTGCTTCCATCACCTCTGCAGCATTTGGCAGCTCGCTTTCAACCGGCACGACCTGCATGCGTCATTCACAAAGATACTTGTATGTTAGATGAACTCGCCAACACCTGAGAATATTGCGTGTTAGAGCATCTCTAACAGACTCTCCAAACTAAATTTTGGCAACTCTATCAAAAAAAGGTGCAACTTCTAGAAATACTTGTAGGAAATGATTCCAGACATTGAGACATAACCAAATAAACTATTTCCTGGAAAACTTACAGATAAAACTGAAAGACAGAGGAGAGGGCTCGGTGAAAAAAAAAGACAGAGGAGAGGACATCTATAAGACTACAAAAGTTTATGCCTTATGTATAACATACACTACTTGATTAAATAAGTCATACGGCTTGCATATATATTGGCAGACTGTAAATTTGTAATGGTAAGGTTGCCCTCTGCTAAATTCAGTGCATGGTTATGAAACAAGAAACTTGTGATGGAAACAATGGTTGTCTTGCCTTGTTTGGTTCACTAAATGAATTTTCATCCAGAAAGTTGCCGGATGTGAGAACAGTCACAGTTGATTTTGCAGTGTTGACGCCATCTTGAAGTCCTCTTGAAGATATTGTGAGGTTCACAGCATTTGGCCCAAAGTTTACTATCTGCAGAAGATCTTTTGAAGATCAACATATGTTCTAAAATCCAAAGAGATGTTATCCAAGTATGCAGTAGTTGAATCAGTTTTATATCGTTGTAACTAAATCATTCAAAACATTTAGGTGCTTGTGTAATGAATTGCTGCAAGGGTATGCAAATTAGGAGAAACTGGAATGGTTAGTTTACCTTTACTCTCAGAAAGATATCCTCAGAGTCTTGCCAGGTGATTGCAGAAGCAGCCAATGAATCAGAATATCTGGAACTGATCGTAATCGGATGAATCACAGAACCACTTGATTCACGGAAATATGTCTGCACCCAATAACTAGGAGTGCCATACTGCTGCCAGGAATTGAACACAATTGCATCTGGGTTCCAGCTGATCATTACATTAAGGTCTAGTCAAACTCGCGTACTTGTGACCAACAAGAACGTTGGAAATAAAAAGGAGCAAAGCTGGAGGTACTAACGTGCTGTCATTGTCATTTACGAAGAGTGGTGCATAACTTGCCATCTGAACAACATCACTGCAGATAAACAGGACATACACTTTTAATTTATTCATGATAGAGTATTCTTGCTGCTCACTATTAATATTTACAATACGTGTATTATTCATTATCTTGTAATTTCTGAACAACAGACATTTTCCCTTTGTTCCAAATGTGATTATCTGAATAGGGTCATAAACTACTAATTATCCAAGACAATACTGAAATTTATCCTGGAAAAGTCATGAATGATCTAAATACAGCTGCATGCACGATTCAGTTAGTCCCAAGAATATGGAATGAGAGATTATCCAAAGAAAGGAAGAAGTGAGAGAGATCACCTATTTTTCTCCAACCCAGTAAGGAAAGCAGCCTCAGCCAGTGAAGCAAGAAGGCTTCCTTTACCAGCATCCCTTTGTTCATTGACAGCGTACTCACTGACAAATACCTGGAACAGGATCATAGCATAGTAATTAATAAGTACTTTCTGTGTATCCAATATCCTAGGGCGTCGGGATGCAAGAGAACTGTAATGATACAGAGAAACAAAGCCGGCTGAAGTGTTGTGACACTAGAACACTATCATTAATGGAAGTTACACATATAATATTATGACTTCAATATAATTTCTGAAGAAATTTAATAAATAAACATGCCAGTGGCCAGCCTCAGGTAGAATAACATGGAAAAAAAATAATGTCCTAAAAATATTCCACCAAAGTTAGGATGATAGGTCAATTAAAGACCAACCCATATAGGAGTATTTCGAGGATATATCTATTGCCAGAATAAATCACAAAAACAAAGTCCATATTTTGGATGGGCCGTGATGGCCACGGATCCCTGACCATCCAAACAAGGACTGAAAAATACCTTAGGCCCAATGCGTGATGTCCTGTCAAACTTATTCTTCATGATAAAAAGATTAGCAGCACTGGTATATACCTGAAAAAATATGTCAGAGTGCATCTTAATAAAAGCACAATGAAAAGTCTGTTAGAAGTAATGAGACAGTATTTAAACAGTGAAAATGGAATGAAGATTACATGAAAATCGTACAAATCAGCAGGATGGTCAAGCGGCCTAGATGATCCATCACAGTTTGAAATCATTTGAATGTCTGGATAGGCCTTGCGTATAGCATCATAAAACTTGAGGTAATTTCCTGTAAGATAGGATTCAAAACCATCATGGGCAACTCGGGGACAAGTGGGATACTATTGGCTAGCTCTCTGGTATTTTCATGAAATTAGTGAATGTTATAGTAACTTCATGTGCAAAGAAAATCTATCCTCAGAAACTGATGACATAAATAGCTCAAAGTTACATCCATTCTATTTTCATCTATTATTTGTTGCGAATGTTTATATTTTTATTATGCTTATCTGTAAGGATGAAATTGTTTTGCCATAATTGTAGTTGACTCCACAAAGTAACGACGGCATACAAACAAAGAAAAACAAGGGGTAAAGAAGAAGGAAAATAAGTGGTTTTAGATATGCATTCATATATGATGAGGGATTTTGTGTTAAGTACACTTGGCCATCACACCATTTCAGCCTATAGATGTACCAACCTAAGGAAAACAACTATGGCATTGACAACAAATGGGATCAGTAGTATGTCAAATTCTGATTAATAAAAATATACCTCGGTAAAATTCCTTCCCACAATCTTCATTTCCAATAGCAACATACTTCAGTGGGAACCGTTCGGGATGCCCCATTGCAGATCTAACAGAGCCCCATGTTGATTCTGCGCTTCCCCTTGCAAATTCAAGACTATCCAATACATCCTATAAATAGAAAAAAAATAATGAACTTAAAGAATGACAAATGCATAGAAAACATTTTGTTTTGCTACGATGGCATCTGCAATAAGGAAAAGTCAAACCGGAGTAATCCTCTACCCAGTTCTATTTGGATGACTATTCTTACTTTTGGCATTTAACGTACCTTAACAAAAGGTTCAATTATGATGGTATCAACTTCATCATGGTGGCTGATCCCTAAATTTCAAGGTAAAATTGTAAGCTGGTAATGGGCATGCTAGCGATGAGAAAAGATATGGTAAAACAGGAAAATTTTAAATAATTAGAATGTATTACCAACATTGAACACCCAAATAGGGGCAGCACCCAGGTCTTCAGCAAGCTTTCCATGAAAATTTCGGTAGAAATATTTGGTTAGATATGTTGGTAGCAGAAGAGATAAAAAAAACTCAGATTGCATTAATCAACATATACCTGGAGAAACTCATAATATCCTAGGCCATCATCGGTCCAATAATTCTAAACATCTCCAAAGTGCCCAGGTCTCTGTTCCCATGGACCAATAGTTTCTCTCCACCTGAAAGCATTTCTTAACCAATCACCTTCAACAAAGCACCCCCCCTGTCATAATTGTGATACAAAATTTTGACTCAATATATGTGTAGAATTGTTCAAAAGTTAGTTGCTGAAATCATGGAACCATATATAATGCAAATATAGATAAATCTACAATCATGCTGGTTTCGTACTAATTGACCACAACTTTTTGATGCTTTACTCTAGAGTATTATTTCTTAATTATTTATGCTTGTTAGTATCCCAGAATTGGTTTAGAAGTCCTCTTGCAAAGCATGCATAACCACAAAATAGAATCACACAGTAAATACAATATATTATCACTATTAATTCATATTACCCGGCAAAAATCATAAAATTCTTATGATTGTATGCATGTTCAGGTTTAGTTTTAGTTATCTAAATGTTCATTTTGGTCTAATTCTAGTTAAAATATGATTTTTGGGAACATAAGAAATACCAGGAAAGCGTAGAAACTGTGGCCTTAATTCCAAAAGCATGTATATTAGCTCCTTACGAAAACCATGGCCCTGTACATATATAAGAAATTTCCCGTTAACAAATGCGGAAACTAATAAGCATGGTCTAGCAATAAACAAATGAGGACTTTTTTTTTCCAAAGTTTTGTGAAAATGAATATAAGTAGATTTATTAAGTATCACTAATTAACAATGAGATTGAATCAACATGTTTCCTACGCATTTATGAATAACTTATAATTCTGCTAGTACATTAGTTGCATCACAAAGCAGTGGATGAATATTCACTGGCTACTCCCATAGCAAAGCATGCTCATGACTGTCAGTAGCCAATAGCAGGATGAAAATGCAGTGAACCTTGTATGTGTCTGATGGCATGAGTGACACTTGATCAAACCAAATTACTCCCCTTTTCATACTTGTTAATTCAAGTCTTGAAGTTCTGCATGTTCCTTGAGCCAATAATTGCATCTCTATCTTTGTCCAATTTGACGGATCAATCTCTCTGCAACATTTCAATATGCAATCCTTTCAATCATAAAAGAAAAACACATCAAGAATTATTTATTTCAGTGTTATGTCAAAGATACATACTGTATAGAGACTGATGCCAGATTTTGCATTCCATCTGAACATGTGAGAGAAGCTGTCAACTCCACAGATTCTAATGATCTGATATACATGACTAGATTATAGGTCTTTCCTTCTTCTATGTTCTGGAAGTTGGAACGAACAGGTTCATCCAAAAATCAGATGGTAAAATCCCAAGCAAATAAATAAATAAATAAATATATATATATATATATATATATATCAGAAGATAAAAGTAGAAATGGTCGGAAGAAAAACTATAACAGATATTCATATTTCCAAGTAAAAAAAACAGAACTATTGCATAGAAAGACAACATTATGTCAGAAAAATGAGCATAAAATGAAATCAAGCAAAATATAGGTAACGTTAGCTATTAGTTTAACTTTTTGGAAAAAAGATCACAACTTTGCTGTATTTCCTTTAAGTGACAGCATTGTACAGTAACTGTTGTTTAGAAAAAAGATTATTTGGACAATGAGTTATTTTACATCGATAAGGACTCATACCATGCCCCAGAATCCTGGGTTGTAAATGCCAACACCGCCAGCTGGACAATTCTCACAGAGAATCTCCATCCTTAGAGCGACACTATTTTTGCTGAAACAAGATGAGCGATCAGTTGTGATGTATATAGAGGATTCATCTCCAATGATAGACCATGGATCGATGTTAGAAGGGGTGTGGGGCCCTCCAGATTCAAATCCTGGAGTATAATCCATGCATTAGTCAGTTAAAGCAAGACTTCAATGTTGATGACAAATTATAAAACACAGATGCTTTTGTTTCATTTGGTTTTAATTCAGAACTGTAATCTTTTCTGTTCTGTAGCAACTTAGAAGCCAAAATATGGAATAGAAATTAAGCAACCTGATGTCAGTTATTAATATGAATGAGGATAAATATAGTAAATGCATTTGACAAGGGTTGATTTTTTTTCTCATGAATAAACTTGAGCATTGCAAAGGGCTGCAGTTGCGAATGTTGACAAGGAGTTCTATATTGTTCTTGTAAAATAGCATTGTGTATCACTTGCACAAAAATGTCACTTTACACTTTAATTTCCTTCATTGACTATTGGATGTATGTGAACATAAGAATATTTCTTATACAGCAAAACCTGCAATGTGTCTTTTTGACATGTGCGCAGTGCAAGAAACTGATTCACTGCTTGATATTTGGACTGATTTATCTATTTTTGTGTAAATAACAAATCTTCAACTTAGTCAAGTGCATCCATTCACTTCTCACAGCTTCCATGAGGAATGTTTATCAAACTGAGAGTTACTTCTGTTACTGACAAGCTCCGCCCATATCCCACCAGCTCCAGCATGGTTAATTTCCTATAATGTTCACTGATCTAGTTATCATGACTGACGAGCATAATCTAGAATATTCAGATTGCAGTGAACACATAATGAATATAAAGCAAGCGCTAACAAAAGAAATCTTCGCGCGCACACACACCCCAATCCCTCCTCTTTCCCTGACTAGAAGTAATGCAGACAAAATTATAACACCGGCATCCACACAAAATAGTGGTGGAAAAGGAAACAGTGGAATGAGAAAACATGTACAACATAGGAGTTATTTTCTGAAACCAGAAAGAAGATTTGCATGAAGATATATGAAGAACCACCATAGTTAATACAGTGCAGTGTAGTGTGAACAATGGTAAATTCAACTGAAAAGACTAGCTGCAGCAGTTAGGTAAGGTTGACTAAATTATTGATCTCATCCTAACATATTTTGATGCCGGCAGAGAAAGTGACGCGATAAGATGAACTGACAGAGCTAAATAGGCAAAATCTGACCTCAAAAAATAATCCAAATAGTGTGTCAGGGATCTTTCGTGAAACCTCCCATGAAGCATCAACCTCTACTAGTGCTGTCTGAGGCAGGTCCAGCTCTGAAGATAGGCATTTGGAACTGAAACAAAAAAGAAGCAAGGAGCAGAAGGTGCAAAAGAATGCATCTTTGGAACCCATGCCCTCGGTCCTGCCTGCCGAACAACAGTAGGTCAGTAAAAACTGTAATTCAGACCATTGCTACTTCGCTAGTAGTCATATAGAAATATAGAGTAAGAAAAGGAGCAGTAAAAAGAAGAGTACGGAATCGATTGAGTTGTTAAACAGCAAGAAATTTAACAGAAAACAGTATGCATCATTGGATTAGACCTACTAGAAAATTGAAACTGCAGCTGCCGCAACAGAAGTCCGCTACCAAACACTAACAAAGGGAACTCCAAAGATCGTCCGCAGTCACTACTGAACCCATGTAAAGTTTAGTGGAATCCCACAGAATCTCCGTCAAACAAGATTTTTTTTTAGAGGAACAGGGGAAGATTCCCCATCATCATACATATATTGATGAATTTGATGATCAGCTAACAAAGGTTTGAAGGTTCATAAAAAGTGAAATGAAGACGAATCTATCATGCAATGAATCAAGAACAGAAGGTAAGCAAAGTAGTGGCCTTCTCTCAGGCATTTCATCAAACATGTAAACTGCACGACAACAGGAACATGATTAGGGGGGCTAGAGAAAGAACTTTTCGACCTGCGGATCGAAGTACGCCTTTGCCTCCAACACTTGGAGACGAGAGGCAACAGCTACAAGTGCGTGAACAGAATTTGTGAAGCTTCGATAGTGTTAGCGGAGCTCAGGAGGGAATTTAGCTGTGATGCTGCTTGCATCCTTAAATAGGCCTGCGATGCTATGAAGTATGAACAAGACAAGTATGGGCTTGCCGGCAAGCTACATCACAACGTGACATCTGTAGCCTGAATTCCTGACGGATCTTGTCATCTTCGATCGAGCGGTGGAAAGGCGGAACGGGCAACCGCTCGGTTGTTGCTTCCCGGGCTAGACATGACCGGGATCGAGAAAATACGACCGTATTTCCGTATTTGTACTAGCACAAATCGGACCAAGTTCGTCTCTTTCTAGCTTGAATTATTAATTGTGCCTAGTTATGTGAATAAAATTTTTTACATGGATGAATTTGGGTGGCAATGAAATTATTGAACGCTGCAAAGGACAAGAGGGGAAGAAAAAGATGCAAGTACGTGACCACATAAACATTAATTATGCACTCAGAAATGGCAAAGACATTCTTAATGTATGCATACTCTATTTGCCTGTATTAAGTGCATCCAACAATGGCTTAACCAATATCTCACTTTTTGTGTCTCCATTTTGTTTGTTCTCTTCATGTACCAGCTGGATGATTTCCATGTGCGAGTACATTATATTATTTGTCCCCTTCCATACATAATCTGCTGAATTTTACGAAATGACATAAATGCACACATTGTTGTAACAAACAATATAATGCAATAAAGAAGAATGTACAAGCAAATGTACTAATGCATATTACATCACACCTGACCAAAGCAATAAATAATAAAACTTAAAGTGGATGATGAGGTGACACACTTGGATGCTGAGATTTACCTTTGACAATGGGAAGAATCAAGAGAGTGCACCTCCAACCAGTCATGGACAAGCTCGGATCCCGACTTGCAGGTTGGAAAGGGAAGTTGTTGCAACAGGCAGGAAGGAAGACCCCTGTCACTTCGGTACTAACCTCTATACCAACATACTTCCTCACAGCACTAAAACCCCCCAAAAATTTCCTACATGACATGGACAAAATTAGGAAGAGGTTCCTTTGGGCAGGCGACCAAGAGATTAGTGGGGGCAAATGCAAAGTAAATTGGCCAACGGTATGTTCACCCACCAAATTTGGGGGACTAGGAGTCTTGGATTTAGAGAAATTTGCACGAGCATTGAGAGTGTGATGGCTATGGTTCAGTTGGGAAAGCCCGAACAAGCCTTGGGCAGGGACACCCCCTACTTGTGATGAAATGGACAAAAAAGCTTTTTGCTTCTCCAACCAAGGTGACTATAGGTGATGGTCGGAAAGCGAGCTTTTGGGAATCAAATTGGATTGGAGAACAACCACTGAAGGAGTTAGCCCCGGCCTTATACAACCATGCCAAAAGGAAAGGTAGAACGGTCCAAGAAGGGTTAGCAAATGACCAATGGATAATAGACATCAGGCACAGCCTCACAGTCGAGCTTGTCAATGAATTCTTTGAGGTGTTCTACCATGTGTGGAAGACATTGTTCCTACAGAAGGTGTTGAGGACACCATAACTTGGAGATGGACGAGAAATGGAAAGTACAGTGCAAAGTCAGCCTACATAGCACAGTTCAATGGCAGAATAAGCTCAGCTGCAGCAAAACTGATTTGGAAGCATTGGGCACCTTCCAAATGCAAACATTTTGCATGGCTCCTATTACAAAATAGGATTTGGACAGCGGACAGGCTACAGGTCAGACAATGGCCAAACAACTACTTCTGCCAACTATGCTATAGGAACCTTGAAACCGCCCAACATCTTTTCAAAAATTGCACTTTCGTGCGTCAGATCTGGGAGAGGGTTCTAAGTAGCCTATACTGCCACGACATAGACCACCCACATGATGAAAATGAAGCTCGGTTGGAATGGTGGATTAAAAGAACATCTCAAGTTGGAAAAAGCAAGGCTAAAGCACTCAAGTCAATCCACTTGTTGGTGGCATGGGAAATATGGTGTGAACATAACAGGAGGGTGTTTCGAAGTCAAGAAAAAACAATGCTGCAGCTACTTGCCAAAATACAAGACGAAATCAAGCTATGGAGCATGTGTGGAGCAAAAGACATCGCGAGAATATCCACTTAGGTTTTTGTTCAATGTGTAGCTCTATTTAGGTTTTTTTTCCTCGCCCCCTCTAATTTCTTTCACCTTCTTGGTGATATTGTAAATACTTTCTCTCCTCCTTAATATAACTCCAGCTTAAGCTGGCTTCGGTTTTCAAAAAAAAATGATTTAGCAGTTATTGAGCATTAACTTTATAGTAAAATATGATATGCATCATGCATGCTTGTAATCATCATGTACCGACATCTCTAAAACAAGTGAAATTTTACGATCCTTGAGAAGATATCTTAGCACCTAAATTTTACACCTTTTTCTTATCTCGAGATACTTAGTATACATAGGAATTAGATTTTAACTAGAAAATTTTACACTGATATCTAGATGTATCTCGAGATACTTAGTATCTAGAGGTATCGAATTTTATCTCGAGATACATAGTGAGCGCCATAAGTCTCGTGGTGTTTGCTGCCCGAGCGCAACACAATGGCTTGCCGGAGGCGTTCGGCCGGTAGAATGGGGTATCCGAGGCACGGCAGGCGCTGCGACGGCTTAGCGGGAGGTCACACCAGGTTGAAGAATAATTCTCCGAACCCCCTCCCCAAGTTGGGTTCACACGATCGAGCCGTTGGATCGAGAATGTGCAACGATGCGGAGGAAAGAGGGGTCGGAGGCGTCACGAATGTTACGCGGGGTTGGAGAATTAGTTTCCGAACCCTATCGAGTCCACGGGAACCAGTTGATCATGATCGTGCGGTCAATAATCAAGACGATAGAGTCCAGCACAGATATATCTCGAGTATAGATTACTGAAACTTGATAATTTTTTTAAAGATAATGACTGAAACTCGAGCTATATATCAATCGATTTTCTGATTCCACAGCTAATTAGGGATTGATCCGCCGTCACCTGCATGGAATGCAGTTCAGTCAGTGCGAGATATCTCAATCTCATCGTTGATTCAAACCGTTGGCTCTCTTGTCTGCTTCTATATATATATGCTCCAGACCTCCAGCTTCCCTGAAATGATGTGAGAGTAGAACATGTTATAGGAAACTAGCAACTGTCAGTCTTTTTATTAACATCAAATGAATCGGAGGCATATATAGTATAGTTTTACGAGCTTAATTATTGATGGTACAGCATATAAAAAAAAATCATCAACTCTATGCAACGGTAAGGATGTTTTATTAGGCATGATTAAAGTTAAAGCTAGTATAGGTTCTTAGTTCATTTAGAGACTATCTTATTACAATTTACAACAGCAGTAGAGATGGTAAAATACTACTCTAACAATTAATACACCAAAACTATTTTTTTATTATCTTTCTTTTCTTTTATCGATTCTCATGCGACAAATGTTATTTTAGAAACACTAAAAGTCTGTCGTTGTCACAAGTAACAAATATATTTCTCTGTCTTCTCTTTTTTATGTAAGTAAAATCATCTTATTAATAACTTCAAAACATGCTAATGATTGTCATTGTATATGCCTCAGCCATATTTGGTCAGAGATTTACGGGGAATCAATAATTGATTTTACGGATCTACTCTATCTAATTATTAACTGGAGACGATCTGTTCGTTTTTAACACCATGCAAAACCTGTCCATAAATAGTTCACACGCAAGGCCACAAAAGTATTCATCCAAAAAAACCATTCGACATCATCTTGCAGATCGATCGAGGTTTCACAATGGTCTCCTCCCATGGCATCGTCAATGCATTCTTCCTCTTCGCCGTCGCCCTCGTCGCGGCGTCTCAAGCTCAACACGCCGCCAACGCTGACTCTTTCATGTCCGGCGCATGCAAGATCGTCGCTGGCAGCAGCAGCGGCGTCATCAGCGTCACGTTCTGCATGGACGCGCTCGGTTCCGACAGCCGGAGCCTCAGCGCCAGCTACTACAGTGACCTCGCCATCATCGCCATCGACCTCCTGACATCCAACACGACGAGCACCAAGGCCAAGATAGACAACATCCTTAAGGACGACGGCAACGGCTTGAAACCCGGCGACGCCACGACGGTGTGCTTCCAGTCGTGCCAGGCAGCATACGCCAGCGTGCTACAGGGTCAGCTTGGCATCTTCTACAACGTGCAGGCTGGCAGGTTTCCGGAGGCGATGTCGGCGTTGGAGAAGGCAGCCAACATGGTGGAGGAATGCGAGAAAGGGTTCGGGAAGAGTAATGTCAAGTCATTGCTCACCACAGAGAACCACGACAGCTTTGAGCTCGCCAAGCTTGGCGCTTTGTTACTCAATGAGGAACACTGATATCAAGAGACAATGTTTATATACACATAGTCTTTTTTTTTCTTAGCATATCCCTTTGTCATGTCCTTTAATTTTGAAATAAACAAGGATCAAGGAGGTTAAGGCCCTGTATAGATGGGACTAAAACTTTTAAGTCCCTATCATATCATATGTTTGGACACTAATTATAAATATTAAATGTAGACTATTAATAAAACCCATCCATAATCTTGGACTAATTCACGAGATGAATCTTTTGAGCCTAATTAATCCATGATTAGCCTATGTGATGCTACAGTAAACATTCTCTAATTATGGATTAATTAGGCTTAAAAAATTTGTCTCGCGAATTAGCTTTCATTTATATAATTAGTTTTGTAAGTAGTCTATATTTAATACTCTAAATTAGTGTCTAAATATAGGGACTAAAGTTAAGTCCCTGGATCCAAACACCACCTAAGTTATATGGATTTGCAAAGAAAGAAAGACCATACAGTGAAGTACATGATTACGTAGTATGCACTCCCTTCGATGAGGAATATAAGTCATTTTAGTTTTTGACATGGCCTTTGATAACTTTGATCATTAATTTCTTTGATAGTTTATATCAATATATTATAAAATTAACTTCATATGAAATACGAATATAGCGTCACCACATGTACTATATATCTACATGTTTTGGCGTAATTTTAATAAAAACTAAAATCCATGATTAGTCTAGAAAAAACTACTCCCTCCGTTTCAGGTTACAAGACGTTTTGACTTTGGTTAAAGTCAAACTACTTCAAGTTTGACTAAGTTTATGGAAAAACATAGTAATATTTATAATACCAAATTAGTTTCATTAAATCAGTAATTAAATATATTTTCATATTAAATTTGTCTTGGGTTAAAAATGTTATTGTATTTTTCTACGAACGTAGTCAAACTTGAAGCAGTTTAACTTTGACCAAAGTCAAAATATTTTATAATTTGAAATGGAGGTAGTAAAATGCGCATATATTATATTTTCCAGCCGAGGGAGTTCTAATGCGGAATAGAGCAGAAATACTCCAGATGAATTCTATACCATAAAAAAAGGGGGAAAAAAAGGTGGCCACCCTCAATCCCCCGGGATTTTTGACTATTTGCCATCTTCCCCGATGCCACACTCCCAAATGCCATCTTCCCAAAAATTCTAGATAAATTGCCACCGGGTCCATATATTAGTTGATTCTCAGCCATTTTTTTCCTTTTTATGTCAAATCAGCATTGGATGGGGCGAAATCCCTATTTTGCCCTTACGTATAGGGAGTGGGAGAAAAACTCTAATATTTGCATCGCTACTTTCTCCAGGCTTCGCATCGCTCCTCCTCGTCTGACTTCGCGTCACTCCCTGCTCTAGGCGACTCCGCTGGCGGTGGCCAAACAATGATACAATCCCAAGTAAAAGAACAGATCCTTTGTATTTCCCTCTTTGATTTGGCATCAATTTTTTTCATGATCTTTGCTTCTTTTTTTAGATTGATCTGTCTAGGGTTTGGTTTTCAGAAAGATTTGAGGGAGCCATGGCTCCACCCAATTGCAAGTTTTGTTGTATGTTCCAAGCTGTGTTTGCTTGTGAAATTGTTGTGCATTGAAGTTGGTTTCATTTTATTTGCTGTGAGCTGTGTTAAATTTGTACTGAACGGGTAGGGGTATCATTGTCATTTTCTTAAAGTGTCATGAGGTGGCTGCTGATGTGGCATCAAGAATGGACCAAAATGGTAGGAAATCAACTAATGTGGGGGACCAATGGCAATTCAGCTACAATTTTTTGGAAGATGGCATTTGGGAGCGTGGCATTGGAAAGATGTCAAATAGTAAAAAAAAAAAAATCCCCAATCCCCCTGCCTATCGCGTTTCCCCACCCCCGATCCGCCGCTCCCCTCGCCCTCCTCCGCGCCGCGACCGATCTCCACCTCGACGGCCGCCTGCGCGCCGCCACCGAGTCCTCCGCGGCTGCCACCACCTCCTGAATCCGGCCTCCCACCACCCCATCGCACGGTGGCCTCCGTCGTCGACAGTTTGTCTCCTTTCTCCCCTTCATCACCGAGGGACATCTCCATCTAGGAAAAAAAGGTAACAAAAATTCGTTTATGGCATTTGATTGCTGGACATCCCTCATATAGAAATTCGTTTGAGAGGTTTCTTGTGATATTGCCTTGTTGATATTAGGTATGACCATTACGATTGAATTTAACACCTTTCTGTCTGAACGAACTAGAGAATGAACATTTTGCCTGTGAAATTACAAGATTTTGTATGTTTTCCTTGCCCCACGACAAGCTGATATGATGCCAAATGTACAATATAATTTGTTGCTCAAAGCATAGTTCGATCCTTTATTTTTATGTTTATTATGTTGAGCATTTGCTTGTTTAGGTTTTTAGCCTCAGAGTTGAAGAGTTACTATTAAGACTGAACCCATAATCTTGTATGACTCCATTGTACAGCCGGCTTGTAGTCTAAGCACCGTCATCGGAAAAACTAAAAGTAATCTAAGCACTGTAAATTGACAATATTCGTCAAATCTCAGAGGCTGCTATCTGTGTTTTTTTTTCTTTTCTTTCCTTTTTTTTTTTTGCCAAAATTAAGCCTAGAACACTGTACTGTTAGCCCAGGGGTAGCAAAATCTTGGACTCTCACATTATAGCAGATGCGCCCTTGAACCATACTAACTTCTGTGTCTTTGTGATCTTCCATGGTCGAGTAATAAAAACTGTACAACTCCATCTTTTTTAGGAATACTCACTCATCGGTTCTAGTCCCAAAGATTAGGCTCCTGAATTTTAGATGGATTTATTGTGCCTGCAAAAAGTTTGGTTTCTTGCAAGTCAGCCACTGGTACTATGATCCTATTACTGTTTTTCTCTTCTATCACATTCTGCCCTGCTACTTGCAAAAAAGAAACAAAAAAAAAGAGGGGGGGAAGGGGTCAGAAGGTCCTTACCTGGAGAATTATAAGTTATTGTAGGGTTTTCCTTTTTTTTATGTTAATTAAATGATATTTTGCTGCTCGATGTTTATAAACTTGTGAAGTTCACAGGGCTGGCCCTGAGGCAGGTCAGTAAGGACGACCGATCTGGACCCCCATTAGTTAGGGGCTCCAAGCCCATAGATGGTACCTCTATATGCATGATAATAAAGGTCCAATCGGGCCAACAGTATGGCTACCGAAGGAAATCAGGATCAAGGGAGAGGACACGTCACTCCAGTCTCCAGACGTGCTCTCGTCCTCGCCTGTTCCTCTTCTATTTCCCCCAGACCTCCTCGTTCCTTCAATCCTTTCCTGAGACAAGCGTTGGTGTTGCCACCCCTGTCTCTTCTGATTTCTTTCTGTGATTTGTTTACCACTCGGACCAGTTTTGCTGACTTGCCTGTAATTCGTTTTCCCTCTTCTATAGATCTGGTTCAGAGCTAGGAGACATATAAAGGCTCAGATTGGTGATTCTTACTAACAGTAGGCTGCTGGTATGATTTTCTTGGCTATAATGTAGGAGTATACAGAACTAAGATACAGTTTTGGAAAGGTTCTAAAGACTAGTATATTTTGAGGTGTTTTTTCAGATATAAAAATCTGAGGTATTCATGTTTTGTTAGTACTATTTCAGATTCTAACTAATTTGCACATCAAGGTACTAATGTACTCCATATTTTGTTAGTACTTGTGTTCGGAGGTCAGGGTAGATGTGTCTTGTTTAGCCCATATTTTCTGATTGTTATCCTGTAGAATAGATTGCTCATTTTAGCCTTAGTTCGTGCAGATGATTGTAGATGATCAAAGCTTTTAATACGCATCTTGTTGCATAAGGTTTTATTTGATATATGCAACAACCTAGAGAAAAAATCTGTCTGGTATGCCATCCTGTTCTTGTCTTTGATTCTGTTCTTTGAGTTGGCTTCAAATTACATGTCGCATTACAGAAAATTTTTTCTTATATTTTGCTAATCATTCTATAAAAACTATTAGTTCTTTTCTGAGAATGATTCACATGAAATTTGTGATGCCCATGTCACATGCAGTCCATTAAGGCCCTTGGCATGGCACATGCGACGGCAACCACAACCTTAGTTTTGTTTGTCATATCATCTCTGTTACTGTTTGGTGCACCTTATTTTTTCAAAGCTTGTAATTTTTTATTATCATTAGCAGCAACTGTGGATTTCAACTTTTCTTTGTCAATTGAACTCTTAGATCTTACTGTGTATTACCATGTCATTTTCTACATGTATTTTACAGTATGTGTTTCAAATGCAGACACTGCACTATGGCGTCTAGACGCAATGTTCGGGGGTATGCTCCCCTTCCTACAGAGGACAGGGATGACAGCAATCTTACTGATGATGTTGACCTTCGGTTCACTTACACCCCAAAATCCCTCAGGAAAATCCCGTGGAAGTCAATTGCCCTGGCACTATTCCTCCTCCTCCTAGGATGTTCGCTTCTCTTCCTGTCATATTTTATATTCACAGGTCACATGGAGGGGGATAACTCTCAGGCATATGGTCTCTTGTTCCTGGGCATCCTTGCCTTCCTTCCTGGTATGTTAATGTTCTTACCTTACATTTTCACGTTATTATGGAAATTTTTTCATCTTCTCAATGAAAAATTTTCCCCAATTATTTATTGATCATTTTCCATGACTTTGTTCAAAAGTATTTATTTTAGTGTAGTTTGTTGGAAATGTTGCTACATTTTTTTATAAACTTGGTCAAATTTGAAGAAGTTTGACTTAGGACAAACCCAAAACGCCTTATAATATGGAACGGAGGGAGTGTCATACTGGAAACAGAATCTCTTTGGATATGAAATCTATTTAAATGTGCATTAGTGTAAAATTATGTCCTTTGTTATTATTGTAGATAGTAGACAGACATCTCTACTATTGTATCCATTTAGCGAGAAGGATTATATTGTTCTGACATTGTTTTGTAGGTTTTTATGAGACTCGAGTTGCTTACTATTCCTCGAGAGGAGCACCAGGGTATACCTTTGCATCTATTCCAGATTATTAACCTTCCATTGTTTTCATTTGTCTCACCAAGGGACAGTGGCGATAGAACATGGGCAAAAACTTCAGGATGCAGGAATCAAAATGAGCTCTTTATTTTATTACCACTAAAATGTTAACATCTAAATGAAGTCAGCTGCTGACTTCTGTGTTCACCCGATGGCATTGCTCACCAGGTGTCACTTATCTGTGCTGTACAGACAAAGTAAACTCGTGATCATACTCGTCTCTTGCTACATACTCCAGATGTAGATGGCTGTTTGTCACCAGGAGTAGATGGCTGTTTTAAAGTTGCCGCATATTTTTATTCCACAATTCCATTGTATTTTGTGTTGGTATCATTAAGGTTTTTATTTTGGCTGCAGAAATAGTATAACCATACTTTCATCTATATATTCAAGCTCTTATAGCAGCTGATGGCAATGTGTATCATTTTGTACTGCTTTTCTCTATGATGATATTTGTATGGATAAATTCCTTCTGTGCTACTGGAAGGAAATCAATTCCTTTGCACATTTCGTTGAGAGAATAGTTACCGCTCCCTCTATTGGTCAGACCGTGCTCATCATGACTGGTCAGACTGCGCCCTACCTCGGCCAGATCATGCCTCTTGTGGCCGGTCTAACCATCTCACTAACTGTCGGTCAGACCAAGTACCAGGCTGGTTAGATCGGGCTACCTATAGCCGTCGGTCAGACCAAGTACCTGGCTGGTTAGATCGGGCTACCTATAGCCGGTCAGACCAACACCCTGGAGCCTTTTCCTGATTTTGTATGCCACAACTAATGGTACCGATGTTAATTGTTATTTGATTTTGTATGCCACAACTAATGGTACCGATGTTAATTGTTATTTGCCACCTATAATACTGTTGGTCATGTTATTCCATATACACATGGTATTTGCACCGATAATTGCTATAAGCTAAACCAAAATCATCAAGAAGATGGATTGGCTCAAGACGCGTAGATTACTTTCAAAACTCTGTTGCGCCTTTACATTTTAGGCCATAAATATAAGAGGATGATCAATTAAGCCCTAAAGGCTAGTAATAATTCAATGTCATATAATAAATGTTGATACTTGTTTGTGATCGTTGCGAAACTTTGTAAAGCTTGACTGCATGCACGCATTAGTCAATTTTATAAAGATGTGCATTAAGGGGACATAAATGTTTAACAATTAGCCGGGTCCTATAACCTTATTTCTTAAAAAAAAGAACTATTTAGACTCCATTAATATGTCAACCATTGTATTACAATAAGGACCAATGTTTACTTGTATAAGTATAGAGTTCGTAATTAATGCAATCAAATTCAGCTAGTAAATTAATTTCGAATGGAAGTTACCACAACCAGATTAAAATAGGGCTTTTTAATTTTTTTTTACTTACATATTGTAGTGTGATTTTGAAACAATTTCATAATTTTTGCATCACATAGCAATTTGAAACAGCAAGATATAATCGTCTTTTTGTTTCATTTCATCCATCATATTGAATTGGGACAATTTTATTCTTGCTGCTACTTTGATTCCGATATTGTTTTTCCCTATTTTTTGGTTTTCATTATTTCTTTTCAAATATTTTTTATAGAAGTTAGTGGGTCCAGGATTGCTAAACTAAAAAGTAACAAAACAAGAAATAATATTATTTCAACTTAACAGTTAACCTTTCTACCCGTGGAGATTTTGCCATATGCAAACAATACCCTTGAGTCATTTTCCTATCCCAAATCCAAATTCATGCCCCCAAACCTAAGGCAATAGCAGCTCAGCCAGGCGGCGAAGAGGAGGTGATGACAGCGGCAGTTCCGTGTAGGAAGGAGGCCCAGCCAGGCAGCTGCTCCTTGTAGGGAGGAGGCGACAGTGGTGGCCCAACCAGGCAATGGCAGTGGCAGCTCCTCACAGGGAGGAGGAATCGGTGATAGCCTGGCTAGGCGGCGGCGGCTCCTTGTAGGGAGGGGTGACGGTGGTGACGACTCTGCATAAGGAGGAGTCAGTGGCCTAGCTAGAGTTCAACGCAGGAAGACGGCAGGTCAGTGCGATGAGATGGCGGCGGCTTGGTGTGGGGAGGTGATGGCGAGTAGGGCAAGCGACGGCGATTCGGCGCGGGGTGGCTGCTATGAGTAGGCGATGCAATAGCGACTCAGCGCAGGGAGTGTAGGATCAAGCAGGCCGACTAGAGGGGGGTGAATAGGCGGTTTTAAAATTTAATGGCACTTAAACAAAACTAACCTAAGTTGCTAGGCAAGGTAAGGTACAAGGTTAACTAAGCAACTAAGTTAAGTTTTGCAAACCTATGTGTTATAGGCTCAAATATGTCTCTATGAATGTAAATAGCACAAATGTAAATACAACAAATAAATGAGACAAGAGACAAGAAATTTTTCACCGAGGTTCGGAAACTCGCCGGTTTCCTAATCCCCGTTGAGGCGAGCCCAACTCCACCGCTCAATCACGAAGCCACCGCACGCCCCCTTCGTCAAGGGGTGGGCAAGGCGGGAGCCGACCCACGGAGAGGACTATCCAAGCCTCGATCACTCGGGGTAGTTCTTCCTTCACTCCGAAGGTGGTGAACTCCAAACCACTCACAAACGGTGCCGGGCCTCCTCCACAATCTTCTCGGAGAGGTCACCGGGCAACACCTATACAAGCCGTCTAGGAGGCGGCAACCTCCAAGAGTAACAAGTCTAGGATGCTTGCCGAGGATGATCAAGTGCCACACTAGCTAAAACAATGAAGCAATGCACTTGGATTGGCTTAACTCACTCTCTAACACCTCACTAGATAAACTAAGTGCACAAGGGTGTGAGAGCTCTTGCAAGGGTTCAAGATAATGCAATGGAGTGCCAAAACCTTACCCTTTGTCACGCCCGGAATTTCTATCCAAAATTCCAAACGCTTACATGTGTGTGAACCCTCGTCCAGGAATCAGCCGAGGCACACAATAACAAATTGATAATAGAGTACAATTATTACTCTAATTAATAAGCGAATAAAATGTCATTACAGAGGTAGATAGTTCCTCTCAATCAATAAAGATCTAAGCAGCGGAAAAATAAGATAAACGGCGCAGACGACTCCACTCCACAGGCAGCTTGACCAGGGCTACACCTAATCATCCACACCATCAGCATCACTGTAGAACTCCTCCTCTGATGAATGATTGCAAGGTGAGTATATGACATACTCAGCAAGCCACGTAGCAAATATGCAAGTGCACAGGATAACAAAGGATGGCATAGTAGGGTTTCATTTGCATAAACAGCATTTAATAAACATTTCAGAATTTAATAAAATAGTTAAGTAGTAATTTAAACAATATTAATCCAACGCTATACAACATACCCTGTTGCATAGGCCCAACCATTCTGTACAACCAATCCTGGCTGCACAGTTCTATCTCCAAACCAGGAATATACCATTCCAAACCAGGAGCTAATCAAATTATTACCAGTTATAGCATCTTTTATTATGGTGAGAAGTGTGAGACTAATCACGAAAGACATTGTTAGACCCGCCCATAACCGCGGGCACGGCTATTCGAATAGTTTTACTCTGGCCAGAGGTGTACCACTGTACCCACAAGACACAGCCCCACAACATGTCACCATGTGCCTCAATACCACCACGGTACCTCGGAAAGGAGCTGTGACAGTACCCCTCGCACAACACAATCCACCACAGCGCACCTTTCCTGGATCATAATCACCCCCTTATAAACAAGGCATAGACTCCCCAGCGACCCCCATGGGCTTATCTCCGCCACTTCTCAGTCTGGTGCTCCGCAATGAACCATGCTATACAAAAGGTAAAGCCGTTGCCCACGCTGGCTTGTGGTTGGCACGGTTAATGTTTCACAACCGAAACTCGTGAACCGGTCCTAAATTGTCATGAGCACGACTCTCAAAACCATGTGCTCACAACCCACCATTATCAAGTTTTAGTTGGCAATTTAATTAATTAACCAATCATGATTAACCATCATGAGCTATCATTAAATATCCATCATTAAGTAATAGTGAAACATTAGTTATCCCAATTGTGTGCTAATATTTCTAAGCATGGCTAAGCAATCATATCTAATATCTAGCTGAACCAATATATAAAGCTCAACTAGTCAAGTTATAATAATCCAAGGTATCAAGGAATAAAGTAATCAAGAACAAAAGGACTATAACAAACAATAGGTTAATTCCACCCAATGGCATTCGAAAATAAATGCAATAGTTGAATAGAAACAATAGCTTTAAACGGGATAAACATGTTCAAAGGGTTGTTTGGGATCTGTGTGACTTGCCTTGCTGCCCTTGGAACTCTTCAAATTCTTCTCCAGCGAAAACGAACTCTCCGGAAACGTCAGAATCTAAACAGAAAAGAGCAAAAACACCAAAACAGCACATAAACAAGCATGAACAGTACATGTGGATATTTTTAACATGTAGATCTCAATTTTAAAAAAATTTAGAGACTTGAACCAACTAAATCCGAGCTAAGATGAATTAGTTATGAATTTTTAGAGATTAAATCGGATTAAAACACTTATATGGGTTTTAATTGAATTATGACGCAATAATGAATTATTTTTGAAAAGGAAAAAGGGGTTTATTGCGTCAGCGGCTAGGGTTTGCGGTGGACCGGGTGCACGGCGACGGCTCACGGAAACGAACGGCCGAGATCGATCCTAACCAAAACGAACGGCCGAGATCAACCGGTCCACGGCCGGACCACGACGGACGGCAACGATGACGTCAGCGGTGACGTCACCACCGGCAGCGGCTCGGGCGCACAAGCTCGCCGGCGAACGACGGCGCGACGACGCGAACGGAGGGCACCAGCACGTAGAGAATGACGCGGCGAACTCACCGGTGACCAAAACGGCGGCGGAAGATCAACGGACGGCGACGGCGTCGAGGAAGAAGCGGCGGCAACCTTCGGCTTGACGACGACGGCGGTGCTCCGACGGTCTACAGCAACGATGGAGGGGCGGACGAGGACGGCAACGCGACGGCGACCACGACGGCGGCCTTCCCGAGCGACGGCGACGACTGGAGCGACGGCGGCGCACGGCTGGAGCGGCGGCGACGACGGCGGCGCGAGGCTACACGGTGCTAGGGTTCTACCGGCGACGAGAGACGAAGGCGAGGGTGGCGGCAGGTAGCGGCGGGCTTGGGGGTCCTTTTATAGGGGCAAGGAGGCGGCGGCGAAGGCCCACGGCGACCGGCGACGGCGAAGGAAGGTCTAGGGTTCGGGGAGAGAGACGAATCCGATTCGAGATCGAATCCACAGATTTCCAAACGATTTTAGCCGACGATTCCAAAAGAGAAAAGGTAGAGGAGATCCCGAAGATCATTTCCCCTCTATTGATTTCACCGGAAAAGGAAAGGGGCGGCCGAATTTGGAAAGAGACGACGGCGGCGCGGCGCTAGGGTTCGGGCGGCGGCCGGCCGGAGGTAGACGACAGGCCTGATAGGTGGGCCCCACTTGTCAGCGGCAGCGAGCG